TTGAGCTGTAAAGGTGGATGGATGGTCTCAGTAATGATAAATGTATTGCTTGTTACATGTAAACCAAAACATGCCCACGTTAATTTTCTATTACCATGACAACTGCATTCCCATCTTAGCTCTTTTTGTGTTCAGTCTGGCATTTGTATTAAGCTGTTTGGTTTTTCGAAAACCACAACCTTGGGCTAATCCTGCGTGAGCTGACACCAGAACCTCAGAAGGGTGTAGGATGCGCCTCGTCTCAAAGCCCTACATCAATTTTAAGAATCTCAAGTGTCATGTTGCTTTGTCCTACTTATCTGATACATCTTTTTCAGTATAGAATAAAAAAAACTAATTGTACTTTTATGTAACATCTTTATATATGTTATATGTTAATTATTATTGAATGCAGCTTAGTAATATCATAAGCTCATTTTTTATCGGAGGTAGAGGTAGAAGTCCTTTAACTTTTAATAGAATTAAATACTTGTATTAAGGGAATCAACTGCTTAAAGTTCTGAGATTTTTCTGTTTTCATGTAATTGAAATAAAATAGCAACTTCTATATACGAATAGACTCCTCTTAGACATGTTTCAAACTTCAGAAATAAAAACTATAGTGATTTTTTTCATCTTGTATTTACCTAAGATGTTTGAAATATGTAGTAAAATATAACTGGAATATCACTTTATAGTAACTTCTATTTTAAATTACCATCAGGATAATATCTCTTGGAGAAAAAAAAAGCCTTAGTTAAATATTACTGAAAGTGATTTCATAATATATTACAAAGATTCAGGGAAGCCACTGTGAATTTGCATTTTTAGGAGGTTTATATTGCTCTTGTAAAAGAATAATAGGAGATTATAGATGCTGATAAAAGGATCTCTGTATGCTTTTCATTTTTTTTTATTACATCTATATTTACACGGATGTGATAAACCATTTCCTAACCTATTTCCTTCTTCACTTGAGCAAATCGTATGTACTAATAAAACGAAGCCAGGAACATGTGTTTTTAAACAATCTATATGCTTTTGGTTATCAGCCATCTCACTGATATTTATGTTAATATTTACTTTTCCGTTCTCCTTTAAGGAAGAATTAATAGATGCCCCATATCCCTGTTCACTGGTATCATAGAAGTCATACTGGGAGATTTGCATTATGATGGGCAGATTCTGCCTGTTGTAATACAACAAAAAGACTATTTTAGTTGTGCATTTTTTTTTTTTTTTTAAATTAGATGACCACTCTTTACTTATTTCGTCTACTGTCAAGTAGGAAAGTTCTACTTTATGGATAGAAAGCACTTTGTATTAAGAACTATATTTAGGGGCCTGGTTCCCATTGAAATTCCTGCCTGCTTCAGTGGAAGCTACTTGCTGAGACATAGGCCTGAACCTAAGTCATTTTCCCAGTGCATGTTGAAGAACCTGCAACAGGCAAGAAAAAAGAAAGCTGAAGTTGGGCGGGAGAGAGAGAGAGTGTGTGGGTGTAAACACGTATACACAATGTCTTAACTTTACCTGTTTGTGGGTTGTTTTTTTTTTTCTTCTGTGTCTTGCATAAATTGTGGCATGCAATGATGTAGTCTTGGTTTGAAACAATGGTTTTATTTATAATTTCCTTTTTCTAACACTATTGAAATTCACCCTTCAATAAGGAATTTTCTGAACTTGCCTACATTAGTATAGTTATATTGCCCATTAAAAGACTGCAGTTTATTGTCCTTTTTAAAAGTTTAGTTCTACTGTGCTATTTTCTTAACAAATTTCGTTTTTAACGAGTATGGAAAAATATCCATACTCACAGATGGTAGCAACTATCCATATGTTCTTCTATTTGACTGAACCATAACAGGAAGTTTTTATATTTCTCCCCTCTTCCTTCCTGCCCCCGCATTCTACTTGTTGCATTAGTAGCTTAATTTCCCTAAGAGAGAAACCTCCTTAAGATGCAGGCATCATTTTTCATTTGTTTAAACTGCATTGGATTTTGCCAGCCATCTGTGGAGATAAGGGAAAAGGCTTGGCATGTGTTGTAGTTTCAGCTGAAAAAAGTAATTTTGCCATCATTTCTAATACACTTTTTTTTTTCTTATCATCTGCAGAATAAATGCTATTAAAATTTGAGAAGTTAGTGACTCATCATATTGAGCAACTAAAGAACATTTTTTCCCTGGATAGTTAATGGATTTTTTCTCCCTATTTCTTGATATCTGAAGTGCAGCTTTGCTAGCATCCTAGTTGGAAGGAAAATAGAATTAGGGACAAAAATGTTGATACACAAACTTCTAGATGCCTGAATTTCAGAGATAACCAACAACTGCACAGATATCACTGTTTGCTCAGTGTCTACCCCAACAAGAAACTTTGCAACAATATATGTGTTTTTCTTCTATTACCCTGTATTTAAGTAAATGTTCTGAAAATCACAATTTGTTCATTTGTTTTCTGTCCCAAACTATTGTATGTGTAGAGATTCACTTGGTGATTATACTGAAACCTAAGAAGTAACTCTTGCTTCTGCAAAATCACTGGAATGCTGCACTCCAGCTACATTTCTGTGTATTTTTTTTTCTCTTTGTTTCATTGTATTTTGCAATGAGATTTTGTGAAAGTGGCTTTCAGTAGGTTGTGTTGCCTGTCATCAGTCTTACTGGGCTTTTGTTGTTGTTGTTGCTGAAGTTATAAACAAATCTAGGTTTTTGAGTTTGTTTTGTCTCCATCATGACATTTATGTATATTTTGAACAAGATACATAAGCTACATAAATACTCTTCCATGATTTATTTTAGAATATCATTATTTGGAAGGCAAAATTTAAGTTATTTCATAAAACAGCAATTGTTCTTTGCTAAGTATAATTTTTTTTTTTAAGAGCTTTGATGCAATTACTAATACCCCAAATATTATGCTCTCAATATATTATTTTTTACCCTTAGAATCTTGTGGGATTTTTTTGTGTGTGGGTTTTTTATTTTTTTATTTTTTAATTATTATTATGTAGGCCTGGAATCTGGAATGTAATAGCTGGTATTCTTACCTGGAAGTGCGTTTATTTTAGAGCACATTTATTCTTTTTCCAAGAAACATTAATCTGCAGATCTGCTGCTTGCTGCGTTTCAGGAGAACGAAAAATGAGATAGGATCTAGCATCACATTACAGAATTTGTGCTTAGTTTTGAAAACTGAATCTGACTGAGCAACTAAGGACTACCATAGTCTTAGCATACAAGAATGTACACATAGAAGTAAATTATATTTTTAGTTCTAACTGTGTTGCCTCTCCATAAATGGTTAGAAGCCTAATTGCCTCAGATTAAACGTGCAGATCACGGTGGCAGTCACCTATCGAACTCCTCCAGTGCATCTCAGCTCTGACTCAAGCTGTGTGGATATTCATTGTTTTATGCAGCACAATGCAGGAGTGAAAAGCAAAATAATGTTACATAATTGGTAACTTTAAAGATGCACCATGACACACTTAAATAGCTGCAAAACATTATATTTCTACTTGTGGTGCTCTCCCTGCCCCCCCCCGCCCCTTTTCTTGTCCTGCTGTTTGTTGCTCTTGGTGGTTGTCTCTTGGTTGTTGCAAGTCTCAGACTGATTAAATGCCTTTTGGTTTGTTGTGCATGGTACCGAGTGTTATTCTGAGTACAAAATGTTGTATGACTTGATGGATCCATTAAAGTAGGATTACAGAAAGAATGGGAAAGCTAATTTCCACAACTTCATTTTCTGTACATTGAGCAGGCAGAATTATTTTTAGCTCTTTCATTCTAGCGTGTTCCCATAGCAAACGTGTGGATGCTTGGATTGCCACTGCTGCTTTGGGCATCGATGCCTGCAGCGGGAGGAGGGGCTGGGGAATAGGAGACCTCTAAGTGCAGTGGACTAAAACCCTTTAGTCTTGGTGCTCAGGCCACAGGGTGGTTGGAATTGTAAAGGCCAATCTGAGACTGGCTAACAGTTAAGGAAAAATGAAGGTGGGGAGGAGGGTGGGCATTAGTAAATTCTAATAGACTTTATGGGTTTTGTAGTCTCTTAGCAACTTAGTTTGTAAACAACAGAGCTGCAGCTCACCAGCTGTCCAAGTTAAAATGCAAAACACAGATAGATAAAAGTGCAGATATGAAAACTTCATGTGAAGTCATGATAAAAATGTTAGATCATCTCTTGGCATTTGCAATGGGAGGTCAAATACATGTGTCTCAAAGATGAATGTTCTCATTCTGATTTGGACACTGCATAGCAGTTGCAGAAAAGCAAAAGGTGTGTGTGCACGGGTGCCCTTGCACGCCCACACCCATCATGTGCTGCTGTCGTGCTTTCTGTGAGGCAGCGAGGCTGTCATCTGTGTCTCTGCAACAGGAGATTTGATTACTCCTCTTCAGTGTGCACGATTTAAAATACTGTCTCAAAATCAGACACGCTGTAGAACAAACCCTGCTTCAGTATTTTAATCAATGCTAGAGAATGTGGCTGTGCAATACTGTTTAATTCTTTGAGATACGTTTCTTGTCTAAGTTAAGGTATCTAATGGTAGCGTTTTATCTAATGGTCGAGTGATCTTTTACCCCAGTGTCTTCCTGCTGCTTGAGCTGCAAAGCACAGGTTAAATTATGGTGATTTGAAAATCTTGATGATAGAGGGTACTGTGTACAGTAAGATCCCCCTTTTTCAGCATTCTTGGGTCATTTATTCATTTATGTGTCAATAGTTGAAGGAAAAGGAGGGATGAGGACATAATCATTTAGATTATTAGTAGTCTGTGTATTTAAACTTCTCTATCCTGAGGATATTCTCCAATAACATATTTGTAAAGTAAAATACTGTGGTATGAGGCACATCCCAATGCACATTTTGATTCAATACAATTTTGCTGTGAGCATTAGAAATATCCAGCAGAATGTTACTAGCCTGAAGATATTGTGAAATAAAAGAACACTCATATTGCATATATTTAGATGTTTTAACATGCATTCTAGTCATCTGTACAAGATTTGATACAGCTCGATATTGTGTTATTTAGTATCTAGGGATTGTTAGATGTATGTGGGAGATAACTGCATGATTTTTTCTGATTGCTTCTGCATTCTTATAAGCATTTATATACTTACAAAGCTAGCACGTTATTTCTGTTCAATATTTTTACGTGTGGTAGGCTGGTAAGCATAGTTAAGAGAGTTTTCTTAATAGCTATTATGAAAACTACTGGAAAAAAAATCTATAGTTTTGTAATTTTCTTTATGAGAGATTTCCCTCCCCTTCAGCTGTGTTCTGTGGGTGTCTCATTGAGTGAGATTCTATTGTACTGACTGTAGAATCTATTAACTTTCCACCCCACCTCCCAAAAACATGGATATCCAAAATGAGAATGACCCATAATGAAGAAATTGGCTTACTATTAACTGGATTATGAATGGAAAAGTGAAATTGCAGTAATATAATTTAAATCACTTTGTCTGAAATAAATTTTTTTTTGTAGAGTCAGTATTATCTGGATTTTGATATAGGAGGTATAAAAAATGTTAGTCACTTCAATATGTTTTTAAAAGATCTTAATCTTAGAAGGTAATTGCTTTCTGTGTTTTATAAAACAAGATAAAGACTGAGAAATGGATTTTTCAGCACCAGCTGTGCATAACCCCAAACTCTTAACACTGTACAAAACCAGTAAAATTAAAATGCAGTAATAGACCAGTTTCATGCATAACTTTGTGGATAGTTCAATGTGCATGTATTTGCTATCTAAACGTACTCTGTAGTTGTCCAACACCTCCAGGGAGCATTTACCACTTGCAAAAATAAACGTCTTCTAGTGATGGAACAGAAACAGCTTTCTGGATATTTTTGCATAGGTTTTTCTCAAGTGTATTGATACCAAGTGTTTTGTCTCTCTGTTTCAGAGTTGCAATAGTTTCTAAGTCTTTTGAAGGAAAAACTGATCGAACAGAAGACTGGTATGGAACACAGTACAAACAAGAAGCAATTTCTGATGAAGTCATTAAGGCATGTTAAAGAACTTAATATATTTCCAGTATCTTCTAGTAAAAACCAGTGGTAAATCCTTACTTGATTCTCCCTTTAATAGAAAAGAGAATTTAAATCAGTTCTACAATGCATGGAAATTGTACAGTGAGTCTTTTTAATTTGATGAGAAATAAGGATCCTATGTTAGTCTTTAATTTTCATGGTTTTAGTACGTAAAATGTTTTATGGTTTTAAGCCGTGTTAATGTTTTAAACCAAGGTTAAATACATTAATAGTACACAATGTTTATGTGAAAGGTAAGTAATATGCAATAACTACCTAGAAATATAAGGCTCCACTTAAGGCTTATAAAAGTTTCTATTAAATGTTAATGAGGTACTTTGTTCTTTAAAAAGGATTATTTCTGTGATTGCTTTGTGTTTGTGTTTCTGAAATTGATTTTTGTGGCTTATAAAATGAAGATATGTTGCAAATTTAATGAGTTTCTGCAAATCAATACTCCAGAAGAGGAAGTGGTCAACCTCTTGCTGAGTCCAGTGATACCTGCATTCTTTCAAGAAGAGGTGGCTGCCTAATATGCCCTGGGGCTGTATTGGACTTGCCTAGAACACACTGCTTCATTTAACTTGTCTGCAGCTGTGTTCTTAAACAGAATTTCTGCTTGTGTATTTTGTGTAACGCCTTCACTTCACTTGGCATTCACAGCAGGGAAAATTGATGAGATGCAGAACCACTTTCCACTGTATGGTGAACTTTCCAAAATTATTTTTTATCTTTCATCTTCCTTCTGCTGTAGACTGCATCCTACTAATGGCCTACTCCAACTACGATTACAGACTGTTGCTTTTTTTTTTCTTTTCTTCTTATTTTGCTATCACTTACATGTAAGCTTTTGCAACACATTTTTGTATTATCTCTTAGAGCATAAAAGAAGTAAGTATTGATGCAGCATAAAAGAATAATTATATTAATTCCACTTATCCTCATTGTTTCCCCGACAAATCTAGAAATGGCAAAATGCTGACCTGAATGGGAAATTCAAGCTCCCGATGAAGAATGAGTTCATTCCTACTAACTTTGAGATTTTGCCATTGGAAAAAGATGCAACACAGTACCCAGCCCTTGTCAAAGTAAGTTACCTATATTTGCTCTGTTTGCTAGCTAGTCTCTTGGGAATTCAGCTGTTACTCCTTAGTACATTTTTAAAAATGAGGTAATTTCTTATTCCGAAGTGTAAATTGTTAAACTTTGTTAAAGCAAAAGAATGAAACTCCTCAGTTATCACCAAGAAGACAGTAGAAAGTCCATTTTTATTGACCTTTGGACTGGATTATTTGGGTTCCTATGAAAATGATTTTACGAATAACTCATGCTCTTCTTGCCCCTTAAAAAAAAGTGTATGGAAAAATTGATAGAGCTTGTACTGGAACTTCACGTTTGTTCAGCAGAAGGCTGAATGCCACTTCTGCATTTGTTTGATCAGTGTTTAGTCAGTTCAAGGTAGCCACAACTGTTTTTTTTTTGCAGCTGCGCATGGAAAAAGCTTGCATTTGTGTGTGGACACATGTGCACACACATAGATACACATCGCTCTTCACTATCCTTGAAGTTCCTTCAATGATTCCCAATATGTATTCAGTATTTCTGAGTACCTAATCATACTACACACTACTGAAACGTAGATGTCTGCTAATGCTTATTTCTGTTTTAGGATAAGTCTTCTGCTACTCTGTGTTCTATTTCTGCTCAAATAATAAATGAGTTTCAGAATACTTGTTGCACACTAGTTTAAGTCTATTTTAGTGTGTACAAGCTCAACCCTTAGAAGAATATATCTGTTGTTATACATAATGCGCTTCAGGCATATGTTTGAAGCAATATTTTTTAACAGGGGAAAACTCTGAGTATATATTTTAACTAATTTTCAACTAGTTTTATTACTTTTTTCTCAATATAGGTGGGTTTTTATTATCATTTTTTTTAAAATGGAATAATATCTATTTGTCATTTTAAAACAATTATAATAAATTCTTAGTCTAAAATTTTTATGGCTGTGATAGTACTGTAATCACCTTTATGCTCTCCCTATTGTGGCACATCCCTAATGCCAGTACTAACAGGAAATTTATTGAAGTTAACTTTATAGTTATCTTTGTCCATTCCTGCAGTAGAGAAGTTATTCCCATTTTGATTGTCTACTTAATCACACAGCTGCAGCCATTTAACTGCTTATTAAGATGACATATAACTGTATGAGTAATATATGAGAAGAATATGAATAATGAGAAGACAGTCTCATTAAGGATTGGTGAAAGTATACACAAATGTATATAAGAAGAATGTAAATTTCAGGGGCTAAAATAAACTGACATGAGAAGTAATTATATCTTTTTTTTTAAAAAAATTACAATTAAAAGTTAGGTGATTTAATTAAAAATAACTTTTCTTGACACAGGACACTGCTATGAGCAAACTGTGGTTCAAGCAAGATGACAAATTTTTTTTGCCAAAAGCTTGTCTCAACTTTGAGTTTTTCAGGTATGTAATATGTTAAGTATATCACACAAATTGCACTCCAAACATTTCTTGTTTGCTGGGAATCTGTGTTTGTGCGTCAGAAACTTCATTGCATATAGTGAGGCTTTGAAATGGCTGTCCTTGCTTGGTAATGTACAGAAAGATATAGATTGTAGGAAAGCTCATGAATTATGCAGTAGTTGAACAGAAAGCAATTCTAGTGGTCATCTGTATTTACATGAAAAGTTTATCAAGACTTTTTTTATACTTTATTTGCTACACCTGAAATACACCTGCCAATAGCAATGCTACTTATTGCAATATACCTTTTTAAAGATGAGTAATGTTTTTTTTAATTCTGACTTCTTCTGAGCTTACTGTTAAGTCCCTTGTAATAACTGACTTAAAGGTTGGGCAGAGAGTATAGTCAGGAGAAAGAAGAAAATGTACTTGCCTGTCTGAAAATATTTTAAATATGGGAGCTGAACACCGTATTTGAGGGAACTTATAGCTGCTGTTTAAGGTATCCCCATAACTCAAAGGCGTAACTTTGTGCTATTGTTTGCCACTTGTTGGGCAAAATAGATTGGCTAGAACTTTTCCTTATTCTATTTCCTGTTTGAGACTAGAGGACAAACATTTCAACTGTTTCGACTTTCGTATGTCAGGAAATGGAAGAGCAAAGTGTAATTACCTGTCATGGATTCCACTCTATTATGTTTGCCAAAATCACCAAAGAGATTTTATTCATTGAGCCTGATTTTATGATGTGTAGTTATTTTGAATATCTGAATGAACTGTGAGGGATAAAATGTCTAACCTAGTTTATGAAAGATTAAAATATAATAGTACATTTTATGTAGAGCACACATTGGTATAAATATATGCATATATGCCCTATATGAGTGAAAGTCTTTCCCAGTTGGATTTGTCCTTTCTTCTCCAGGAGCCCGCCTGAAGGGCTAGGAGAACTTGAGCTCCTAGCTCAAGTGCGAGGCAATGATTTGCCTCTCTACTCCTTGGAATGACAGTACAGGAAAGCTGGCTTTGGTTTGGGGGGTTGTGTTTTTTTACCTTACACACACACACAGATAACTTACATTTATTGTATATGGTAGGAGACTTTGATATCATTGGCTACATAATCTCCAAAAGAAGTGGCAAGAGGTTTGACAGTTTTTGATGCTGTGAATGGATTCTTAGTTAATCTCTCTCCATTTTGAGAATGGTCTTACCGATTGTCAACAGAAGAAAGGGTAAAATGTGTATAGTATATCCTAATGAGAAATGATGAAATATCCATGGCTTCTGGTGGCTGTTTCCTTTAAGTAGAATTCTGGATGTCTTTACTATTGAAGATATTTGTGAATAATCCATCTTAAATACTTTCCTTGAAAAGTTTTAGCCATCATCTTCTGACCTAGAATGAGCCAGTGCTGCTTTGTAGCACATCACATTCACACTGTAAGCTGCTTCAATATACTAGGAAAAAAGTAGGAGGATTTCTGCTGCCTGCAGCCCTAACTGTCATGATTCTTTGGAAGGAGACCCAGAGACTCTAGCAGCACCAGCGTGCATAGATGAACTGAGGTGAAGCAGATGAGGGTTGTGAAATAGTCTCCCTCAAATGTGGAACATAACCCCCATGCTGATGATACTGAGTTGTCTTTGTTTTACTGAGTTGATGTTAGTATACACTATGAAATATCATGGTAGGTCAACCTAAATATATCTAACATGGTAGCTTGTATCTGAATGTGACTGTTAGTGGTTGCTTAGGAGAAATACAAAGGAAATGGCATGCTTTTGAATGGTAAGCAGTATCTTGACAGCGGTGAAACTGCTAATGATTTCTGTGAAACTGTTTTTAAATGCACATGTACTCCAGAAACATGGCTTGAGTCTTTGAGTTGCATTTCTCTTTTAGAGAGATGTGCAGTGATACTATTTGTGTTCTGATAATACTAACATAACAATAGAGCAAGTGTAGTTGTTGCTATTAGAAAACCCACAAAATTACCAAGGTATGAAACTGAGTATGCCTAGCTTTTTTTCTGAGCTGAGCTTAGGATGTACTGCATATTTTTTCATACCACAAATGACTAACTTCTTAATTTGTAACAGCAAGTACCCGTGTTTTCTAACAGCATAAAAGTATTAAATTAATGTTTAGAATCTAGACCTTAATTTAAGCCAATTAAATAATGTTTATGATTGTGTATTTAACTCATTTTATACTTCCTGTGTTCTGATTTTGCAGCAAAGTAAATATAACATGGTTTGATTTTCCAGCATAAATAAAAGAATATCTCTGAAGTCTTCAATACACTTAGGCAACACCCAGCCATAAGCAAGCTAAATAATTATTTTCAGGTTATCTTCGTATTTGGTTTTGAAACAGGAATCTTTCGTAATGGGATCCATCAGCATACTTACAGTAAATAAAACTTAAACAGGCCAAAGGAATCTGAGAAATATTTTTAAACTGCATATTTTACTTTCAACGTTTTCTTCCAGCCCATTTGCTTACGTGGATCCCTTGCATTGTAACATGGCCTATTTGTACCTTGAACTACTCAAAGACTCCCTCAACGAGTATGCATATGCAGCAGAACTAGCTGGCTTGAACTATGATCTCCAAAATACCATCTATGGGATGTATGTAAGTACCCAAACCAAGGAAAAGCTTCGAGCCTTGAAACTACTTCCACTCATCAACATTTTTGTATTGATTTGATGGAAGCATTTTTATTTTAAAAAATGGCCTTTTTTCCATTGTTGGTCTAAGACTGTTATTCCTTTTGATCTTGATTATTAACCATCCTTTCTTTAATTTGAATTTTAAGTTGAATTTTCTTCAAAGTCTTTGACAATCTTTTCATTCATATTAAGCAAATTTCTTCTTTCTTTTTATGCCATTCATGAAATTAATTAGCTCTAAGATTTGTTCCTCCTTTAAAAAAAAAAAAAACAAAAACATAATCCAAGCGTAGATTTTATTTCAGTTTGTCAGATACCTATTAAAAGCTTTTTGACCTGGAGGGAATAAAACCCCCTTTCATTGCTGTTAAATGGTACATTTCAACTTTCCTTTCCAAGAAGTACTGATCATGAGGCTGCATATACATACTCTTCAGTCATGTTTCTTCATCCATTACTTTGTCACTGCTTGAGGTATCAAAGCATTTCTTTTGTTTTTCTTTTCGTTAGTCGCTACATTTATGCTGATCCTCTCCATTGCAACATGACATACCTGTTTATCAGGTTATTGAAGGATGATTTAAAAGAGTATACATATGCAGCACGCCTCTCAGGTTTGGTCTATGGCATTGCATCAGGAATGAATGCAATACTTGTAAGTAAGAAAAAAACAGGAGGATATGAGACAGCTTGGGAGTTGTTGAGCTTGGACAGAACATTTGACTTCTGCACTTCTAAAAATCTTTTTTTTTCCTGAATATATCTCACGAATTGAAGGCAGAACAAGATGATTAATTTTAATGAGTAGTGAATAACTTAAGATTGCAGTGTCTTGTGACCACGTGTGCCGTGCGATTGCTGCATTGTAATTCACATTTTTATCTTCTTGCATGGTGATCTTGAAAGCAATATCGCTGGTTTCTGTATTAAACAGATTAACTTTTCTGTTGAATGAAACTTAACACATTTTGTTCTAATGCTCTAATTCTGCAGTAGTGAGCTGTGGAAATGGCTTGTGCATGTGTTCACTAGAATGCAAGGCTGGATATTTATGGCTTTTCTTAGTAGTTTTTCATATGTGTCTTGAAGTGCTGACAATATTTACCTGATAAATATTGGTATTATGATAAATGGTTATTTCTACAAGATTTATGATTGAAGATTTTAGTAGTATCTCTTGACATTCTGCTAAAAGCTTTTGTTAATCATGATTTTATAGCAAAATTTGTTTTGAAATTCCTTATGAGGGTATTATTTTCAAGATAGTAGGAGACTGTACTGCATATTTTCTTTGTTTCTTTATATGAAGAAGAGTACTTTCTTTTTATCCCTGCATTTTTTTTTTCCAAGAAAAATCTGATCTTGCATCTTCTCATAGCATCCAATTACTGAAAACATGGCTATCTATTTTCAGTCTCAAAGCTGGCTGAAGTTACCAAGGTCAGAATTAATTAAAACAAACACACAACAACAACAAAAAACACAGAAGAAAAGTTCATTTTGTCCATTTTTAGCCACAATTTACAGTTAAAGTAAGTTGGAGGAAATATTTAAGAGGGTTGTGAGTCTCATTTTTATTGCTACAATGACAAACCCAGAGTAATACCCTCTCAGTATTCTGAACATATGGTTTATTGACTGCGCCCAAGCTTGTTCACAATAAAAATCTGTATTAAGAGTTACAGTTTGGTTACATCAGAGTGAATTTATATTCATTCTCTGAATTCATCACTCCTGGGCAAATGTGTGATATTTTATTCATCATTTAGGTGTCATCTTTGGATGGGTAAAATAATTTTATGTTACAAGTTACACTAACTTGACAAACAAACAAGAACAAGTTAGTTTGAAAAAGTCTTGAATTTAGAGTAAGTGTTGAAGAGTTTATTGTTCTTTGAATGATAAGAATCTTGGTAATTGTTTTCTTTTTTTTTTTTTTAACCTTCATATTTAAAAACACATTATGCACTTTTTCCCGTAGCTTTCTGTAAAAGGTTATAATGACAAGCAACATATCTTGCTCAAGAAGATCATTGAGAAAATGGCCACTTTTGAGATTGATGAAAAAAGATTTGAAATTATCAAGGAAGCGGTAAGCTACCTGAAGGGGTTTGAATGCATTGACTTGAAGTGAAATTTGAGGGTCTAATTATTCAGAGAGATATAAAATGAAGTTCTGCCTTGCTGAGTCTGTGGAAGGTTTTTTCTTTAGCTGCAAGTTCCCCAGAGTCAGTTACATTTTTCCGGTCAAAAATAACTTGCTCTGCAGTCGTCATCTTAGTCTGTTTTTCTTATGATTTACCAAGGGATTACAACTTGCTTTGATAGGAATAGAAATGTAAGAAACGGGGAAAAGAATCTAAACTATCCCAGATTACCATTTGGAAAAGCCCCAAGGGATCTACACATAAAAGAAAGGGAATATAAGAGAAGGAGTAAGGAGATATTAAGAAGAGTTAATACATTTCTTCTTCCCAGATGTGAAAGAGCTCTGCTCCTCGACTAGTATTCTTTTGTACAAAAATAGCTAGTTTGCAAAATACATACTGACTTGTGGCAGTTTGACTTCCAAAATATAATGACCTATGCATATTTATGAAATAAGCTAAGTAATCTTTTAAAATTTTAAGTACATTAAAAACATTGGTTATGTTTGCTAAGTCAGCCAAGAAATGTAAATACTTGGTCTTCAGCTGTTTTCCCAGGAGGAAGACAAAGCTAAAATAAAGGAAGTAACTTTAAAAAGAATATAGCAATTAGATGTTGGAACTCACGTAACTCATAACAATTGTGAGTTGTTATGGAAATTAAACGATTTCAGAAAAACGATTAGACAGATGTTGGGGGGCAGACTTATTTTTGGCCCGGAAAGTTTGTACATAGTCTGCAATAGATGAGAGAGCTGTGACTGTGTGGAAGATTACTTCGTACTTTTTATAGTCTTAACCTTAATCCTCTGCTTTTGATGATTCACTGGGCTGGATGAACACCAGGACCATCTTTAGTTCGTTACCATGCAATAACAAATTTTAAGTAGATGTACATCAAACATGAGGCAGATTCATTACAACTGCTTTTGTTCAGGGTTCTATGCATATCAAATATGTATCTGAAAAGTTTAACTGAATTTGACAAAACCCCAAGGGTCTGTGAACGATCGGTTTTGTGTGATTTTTCTTCTAGTTTGTGATACTTCCCTATTTGTCTTTACAGCTTACTTGAGTTTTGTCTCTGTATTACATATGATTTTGTCATTTTCTTGAATTTCAGTGTATAAACCTTTTTGGTATTTTGCTTTTATTTTGCTTATCCAAAAGTTAAATCAGATGGGGTGATTGCAGTTTCTTACTTCATGTTTGTATCTACAGATTAGGGAAGTGTCAGCTTCTTTCTGCTATTTTGAACAGGTAGAAGGAGGATGCATCCTCAGCAACTTCCTGCTCTTTCTTGCCCACATCTTCTGAAATGTTACTTTCCTCAGTTAGTATAAATGATGTGCTTATTTATGTCTCTGTAAACCCAGGAGATCCCAGCTTGCCAAAATGATTAGTTTGCATTTGTTAGAGGAAAGAGTTTTTTTGCTTATCCTGCGAAGGTGTGATATGGGCTAGAGAGGAGTTGTGGAGAAGCTCACTGATTCCTCTCTCACACCTCATTTAACTAGGCCAAGAACACAAAGAATTTCCCAATTGCTCCTGTACTTTTTCTATGCATTTCAGCCTTGGGAACTGAGAGAAAAATACATTTATTAGTACCCCCTTCAGTCACTGTAGAATGCCTATTTCTGGATGAAGGCAGCTTGAACTAAATATTTACTTTGGATTTACCTACCATAATTCAAACATCATTTATTAATTTTATGTTTCGATTTAAGTATGATTTCATTCTCATTTAAACTGTCTTGATGGTTACTGGTTAAGCCATTGCCTCTTAGGCCCATATTGCCATTAAGATGATTTAACACACTTGTTGATCAGATCTAACAGGCATGAAAATGTTGTTGACATTAGACACGTATGTTTTTGATGGTTCAGAGAGTACAGGGCTACAATTTGATGTTTAGAAATGGAGTTCTGCAATTTAAACTTAATTGATTTAACTTTTGTTTTAGTATATGAGATCACTTAACAACTTCAGGGCGGAACAGCCTCATCAACATGCAATGTATTATCTCCGACTCCTCATGACGGAAGTTGCTTGGACCAAGGATGAGTTAAAAGAAGCTCTAGATGGTAACATTCTGCCAGTTTTAAACTTTCCTCTCTTTATTTTTGTAATGGAGTATGTCTTGCTACAAAACTAGTGAAGGTACCTATTTTGAACTCTACCTGTTATTTAAAGTGAGCTCCTGCAGTGCCAGACTTTAGTTCATGCTCTTGGGAGTTGATGCATCTATACCTGTCCTCCAGTTTCTAGAAAGTGTGTTAGTTGAGGCAAAGGGCTGTACAAATGTGTTGTTGTAGCGTGGTCTAGGCCTGCAGTCAACCTGATACAGCTTCCTGCCAGCACTGGGGAAGTATGTTGCTGAATACTGAGCTGGTTTTATGGGCATGAGCCTACGTATGGTGAATCCAGGGTCTACCAGGCACTACTAAATTCGTTTGGACTTCAGGTGACATGTTGCAGACCCACCAGTGTGCTTTCCTGTGGCTGTAGTTCTGTTGTTTTTTTCATTATCTAGGGATCCTAACTCCCCTTTCTGTAGATAATAAAAAATTGATTGTAGTTCTTAACTTCTGATAACCTTTTGATAACTTCTGTGAAATAAAAAAGTCCTGTAGATTTTACAGTAGTTGAGAAAATGATGAGAAACTAATGGACTAGGTAAAGTAGTGCAGAGATTCTTGTGGAGTCAGGGATCTGTTAATTTCGGTGTGAGCACCCATCCAGTCACCATACCTCCCCTTCTTATTCCACTGGTTCTGTGTGCTAGCCTAGATTTGCTTTACATACAAAAACAGCTTTACAAAGGTGCTAGCATAGTAGTGTGTGTGTATAGCCTAGTAAATGTCTTAAAATAAGTATTTCCTGTGTATAGTTTGTGCAAAGATTTTTAGTTTAGGTGGTAAATGTATTGTGTTTCTGAAGCATTATAAACTAAAGCTAAAGCTTTATCTTGGAGCAGCACCTGAATGATTGCAACTGTTGTCTCTAGAGAGGGAATGTCTGCTCAGCATGACTGGAGAGAAGGTTTTTTTTTTTTTTTTTTTTTTCAATTCCCTTTTGGAATCTGGGTCAGACGATATGTGAATTCTAAGCCAAACAAACTATACGGTAAGTGATGCATTTACACCTGGAAGCTTTCCAGTGCTGCATTTATAACGAGAGATCCACTTTTTTATGATGATGAGTTACTGTTTCTCTAAGAAATACACATATTATAATGATAAGTTAGATACTTCTTAATGTAAAAATAAAAGTAATTGATTTAACTGTTGAAATATCTGTTCTAGATGTCACTCTCCCCCGCCTCAAGGCCTTTATATCTCAACTGTTGTCACGGTTACACATTGAAGCTCTTCTCCATGGCAATATAACAAAACAGGTTGGTATGATACTTCTTTAATAAAACATTTTTTATTTAAAAGCAGCCTTAGAAATGAAGGGCTAGCTTTGTAGTCTCAGATTTTAAAACAGTTTCACCAAATGTGCTTGTATACTAGGACTTGTACTTCTTTATGGGAATATCATAGTGTCATTTTTTTCCACTTTAATTTTTTTTAGGTTAAGTGCTGCCCCTCTATTGCTCTTGGAGATTTAATAGAAAGCAGCTTAGAATCTTAATATTTTAAAGTCTATCTTGCGTGTCATTACTGTAATGTGATCAAGCTGCATAAGGAACAACGTGCTGCAGATCTTGCTTTTCCGTGTATGAGTTTCAGGCCAACTAACAAAGACTTAAGAAGCCAGAATTCTGCCAAATGCTTTATATAAAGCTAGACAGGAATGGTGATCCATAAACAATAAAGTTCAGCTCTCAGTTCTGTCTTTTGGGAAGTAAAAATGAGAAAATATTTGTTCTATCCAGCATTAAAACAGTAATGGTTTGCACTAGCAGAGGAAATTTAAACAAAGATCTGAATATTTGTACAAATACAAAATGTATATTGTTCTTATAGTAAAAACAAGGTCTGCATTCTTTTCTATCAAGATATTATACCAGTTCTGTGATACTTTATTAGCAATACTTAAGTATTGGCAATGTCTACTGAATGTGTGGAGAAGAAACTACATAGTAGGCGGAGGGGTGTGCGTGAAAGATGGAGCTGGAAGCATTGGATGCAGAAATGTTGTTCTTTTTGGGGCATCTGCAGAATATGTATTTTTTAGCTTTATATAGAGTGTTTGTCCTGTCAAGAAATTTGATATCATCTCCCTTTCCCCCAATTTCTTGCACTTTCCTATATGTTATGAAATTCTGTTCTTTCTGAAACATCACTGATCAGGATGAGTGTATATTTTCATGATGATTCAGTCATAACAAACAAATATATTCTTTAGCATAATGGGTGCCTATTCCGTAAGTCAAGGTCACAGTGACAATTGGGAAGGATTAATTGTTGTACCTGTAACTGTGTAATAATTAGAAATGATATGTGATCCTCCCCTGCAGAGATTTGAGTAGGAAGACTCATTGCCCAAGTTGTGATCATCAAGATCATGGCTCTGCTGCATTGACCACCTTTTTTTTTTTTCAACCCAGAAATTGTAACCTAGATCTGAGAAATGTTTCCATCTAAAACTCAATCAGAATTGACATACTCTCGTGACAGGTTTTGGTATTGAATAAGATTAAAAGCTTAGAACTGTCTTGTTTCCACTGGAATTAATCTCATTCTGATGTATGTTCTTTGACTGTTTGTCACGTTCATTTGCCATAAGTGGGTGTATAGTAAATTAATCATGTTCAAACTCTTGTGATCGTTGTAATTTGGTGCATTGATTGGCAGAACACATAGTGTTTTCCTGTAACCTTTCAAACTGTTTTATTAGGACTTGTTAGTCTTTGGTTTGGAATTGTTTTGTTTTGGTTGTTTTTAAAGCTTCCCAGCATGTTTACATGTTTATATGAGGTCACTTTTATATTGTGAGTTTATATGACAGCACAGACTAAAAGATTTTGCTGTTCAATATATTTTTGGGGGGGGTTGTTTGTTTGTTTGATTTTTTGATGTTCATTTTTTTAGTTAATTTTGTATTTAGAGGGTGTGGGTTAGTGTTCTTGTAGATCAAAATGAAGGTTTTCATGGGCTCTACAAAAAGACCTGCATTGTTCTTCAAAGTTCTACATCTCACAAAAAATGCCTGTTTTTTTTTTTTTTTTTTTTTTTGAGTTGCTGCTTGTGAACTACTTCGACTGGAGCAAGAAATTTTCTGAAAACATTAGTGACTGTAGAACTGAGTAAATCAATACTGTTATTGTGCATTTGTTCAAAAAGAAACCCTAAGTATATTTAAGGCATTAAGAAAAAACTTAAGATAGTGAATAAGGTTTAATTAAAATATGAGGGAATGATGTAGAATATTAAACCGAATACGAATTATGAACTCTGTCTCTGCGTATAGTCATGCAATTTAACTTTAATAAGATTCCAGAGTGGATTTATGAATTTCATCACACTGTATTTGTGATTATATTTAGGTACTTAGTGTGAATTTCAAACATGGATGAGACAAATTAAGGACTAATGCCTGCTCATTAATGCACGAATCAATCAGCAGTTCTGAGTTGTGTACATTAGACTATCTACAGTAGAAACACACAAGTGCATTTCTGATTAGTTAGAATGTTCTTTATGACTTTTATGTAGGTGTTTTTCTTTGCATTATGTTTTGCCTCTTGGTCATCTGATCTTGTTCCATTTTGGTAACAATTACTGACGGATTGGCTGTGGACCAGCTCCCTGTTGCAGAGATCAGCCAGTCTTCAAGGCTGTGAAGCAGCCAGTTGTGTCTGACCGCCGCAGGATCCTCTCATGCCAGTTTGCCTATCTAGCTCGTGTCCACAAGCCACAGCAGCATGGCTTGCAGTTTGACAAGAGTCCTTCACATGGGGCTGCAGGTGCATGTGTGGTTTGTCAATCTGAAGCCCTGTTTTCTGTTCAGCGTAGCCACCAAAAATTGAGAATTAGGCCACCAGTGGAGCTGTAGGTGGAACCGGCAGTATCCTATGTGCAGCTGGCTGCACTGCTAGACATTCTGATAAGAAGGAGAAAAGTGCTGGTTTCTTTTCCATACAGCATCAATCTTTAAGAATAGTAATGACAGAAGCTTGTTCTGCATATGCAAGAGAGCATGAGCTATAAAGAGAAAACTCTGAAACAAAGAAGGTAGTGCTCATGCAAATCTATGCTGAGCTTCACTCTTGAAGATCACTAATGGAGCAGTGAAAAAAGTGACCTCCCATGATCACTGAAAGATGGGCGGCTTCCGACTGTCACTGATCTTAAGTTTGGAAAGGTGACCATGAGCAAGTGCCGGTTGCTGCTCAGCAGTCTCTTTTCCTGGGATTCTCAAGGATAAGAGATGCAGTGGTCAAATCAGGCTTCATGTGCATGGCCTTCTCCAGTGGTGTTGGGGCCACCAAAGGGAGACATCTCTTTATCCCTTTTTATCCCTCATCTGTAGAAGGGGCTTCATTGTGCTATTGTCCTCTGTCAAGGATGTGCTGAATGTGTAATGCTTTTTTGGTTTTATTTTTTCCCCAGCAACTTTTGCATGGCAAAGTTGCATGAGCAGGCCAATGTGTTAACTTCCTGAGCCTGCCAAGATCAAAAGAGTTGCCATGGTTCTCTTGCTCCTTCACGACTTTGCTGATGGTCTCATCCTGTGTCTCACCAGTGGTTTCCATCATCACAAAGATGTGGAAAACTTTCCTGGTTTTTGCTGCAGCCCAATTGAATGGCAATGAAACTTGTGTTCGGCAGCTTGATAAGGCACATGAGAGCCCCTGTGTCAGATGTGAGGAACACAACATTTTAATTTGCAAGCTGTGGACTGTAAGATATGAAAGTACAAAAATCTGTAGCAGGAAGTCTTTGAAAACAATAGGTGATCATTACTTGTGTTTCTTGATTTTGGTCTCTTTTCTGCGACTTGCCACTGCAGCTTGTTTTAACTCAGCAGGTACATGAAAGTATGGGCTGAAAGTCCAGAGCCAGGTCCTGTGAGGACTAGAATTCAAACAGGAGCTTTGCCTTGATCTTCTGCTTCCTGCAGTCTGTTGCTAGCCCGCCAGAGAGCATTCTTGAGCAACACTGGAGCATGTAAGCAGTTTTCTTTGATAAGTAAGGGGGTCCAAAGTGGAAAATGGGCTGGAAAGGCCTGAACACGTCAGAGAGGGGTGGAGAGACGAGGAAGCTGTAGCTGATGTAGATTGATAACTCCAGCTAACTTCCTCACCAGGAAGCTTTTGCCCCTCATTTAGTAAAGCATTGCAGCAAAGCATCCAGTAATGCCTCCCTCTGCTCCGTGCCTATGGAGTCCTGCGTGTTTGCTGAACTCTTTCGTTGCAGCAGCCTCCCTGCTCCTGCTCTGGCTTGTTTACTGTGCTCTGAGGTGTAAGATATGGCCATGCAGTCTGGCTTCACCCACAGGTACTCAGTGTCCTTTCAGTAGGAAAGTGAGTGTATTTCATTCCCTGTGCAAATAAAGCACCTTTCTTAGTTCCTGTCCCCTCTGTAGAACTACATTCGTGAGAACAGGTCCTGGCCTCCTATTTGGGGAGCAGGAGTTCTCTGCCGTGGGAAGGGATTGAGCCTCCACTGATTTGTGTGCCTGGGAAATTAAGATTTAAAATGTGTCTGAACAGGGTTAGGTCTCACTGGTGTCTGTAAGTTGCCTATGTGACCCCTGTAGTAAGTGAGCTCTGATTAGGGAGGATGTGTCTCTAGCATGATCTCAGTTGGCAAAAAAAAAAACAGTTCTGTTTTTGGAAAGAGGTTGGGGCGGGAGAAGAGCTGCAGGCAAATATACCTTGGCAGTGATAGAGATGTCACTAGTGTGTTCCTCACCGTCAGCAAAGGTGACCCTTAGCCCAAGGAAAGCTGAGCTGGAGCCAAACGCACCCGAGTAGTAACTGCGCGTGTGGAGCCTGCGGAGGTGCTGGGCAGAGGGAACGCTGCTTCAGACTTGTGTTCAGCTGTGTGATCTGTGATACTCTTGGCTGAGGCTTCAGGTGCGGTGGATGACCACAAGTTTGGTGGAAAAAAAAAAGATTCATTTTACTGCATAAATTGTTTTTAATAAGAAATTAGAGTTTTAATGTCTGTGCAGCTGCCAGGCTTGGTTGTGGTAATGCCAGGAGACCTGTGGCAGGACCGAGGGTGCCTGACGTTACCCTGGGGTGCGCAGGGTCGCGACGCAGCCGGGTGCTTACGTGTGTCCTGGGATGAGGTGGCAGAGCCGCGCAGTGGCGGGCAGGCCTGGGGGGGCTGCACTGCGGTTTGTGGTGTTTGCACATAATAAAATCTTACAGGTATTCCTTGTCTGCACTTTAAGCTATGCTAAAGTGCAAATGGGTGTGTTTCATTTATTTATTTATTTATATTTATTGTCAGGGCAGAAATTTTGCATGGGAAAAAGAAGAAAGTCTGAAAGTAATTAAAGTGTTCTTCCTCTTCCAGTCTATCTTTAGTAATTTGCATATCTCCATAAGAACAACTATTTCTTTTTCTCCATAAGAATAAAAATTTTGCTCAAATGCCTTAAAAACGTGGACAGATTCCTTGTTTATTTAATGCTGGTTTAAGTCCTTTGCATACTTGGGATCTTTATTCTTCATGTCAGTTTGTACAAAACACATAGGGAGTAACAAAAAGAACTTGAGCAGACTGAGACCTCCGCTTTGGTTCTTAACAAAGCAAGATATTGTTTTTCTATCTTTGTTTATCCATAGTTTCTTGTTTACTTTTAAAATTCATGCATGCTGTGTCTTCAGCACATCAATAGAATGCATGTTTGAATTGTTACTTTGTTTTCTTAAAATTCCACCTGAGACGTCATTTGTTTTGCAAACATACATTGTAGATGTTTAGATTTCCAGTCTTGGCACATAGAGTGCATCAAAGTGGTAAAGGGAGGAAAGAGGAAGCCCACTTAGAAGTATTGTGGAGATTACAACGTACCACTCACAACGTACTACTTATGGAAAGTAGTTTAACATTTAATGAAAATATATATATTTTTTAAAATTATCCATTTAACATCTGAATTTTCATTAAATTACAATATCCCTTCTTTCTTGTGTTTTAACCTCCTTTCACATCACCAGCACTAATTGGAGAGTTTCAGTTTGCTGCTAGGTACAGAATAACTGATGATCATTTAAAAATCCTCTCTTTTTTTTTTTTTTCCCTCCAGGCTGCATTAGGAATTATGCAGATGGTTGAGGACACTCTCATTGAGCACGCTCATACAAAGCCGCTTCTTCCCAGTCAGCTAGTGAGATACAGAGAAGTACAACTTCCCGACAGTAAGCTAAATCATTTATAAATTAATTTTAAAAGCACACTAAATAGTCTCTGCTAATGGCTTTTTAAAATGAATGTTACTCTGCTGCTAGGTTTTGTTTGGACATCAGATTTACTTGAAATTAATTTTACTTCTTTTGTGCAAAAAATGTTATATTTAAGGAATGAGGCATGGCAATTTGTGAGAGTTGCATAAGAATGATGAAATACATAGTTTACAGCCAAAATCAATTACCCTATGATGATCATTAACCTGTGGAAATTACTGTATGCTAGAGAAGCTATTGATATTAAATGCTGAATTGTTTTTAATCCTGATAAGCATTTCTGACAAATTAACACCATTTACATGATAGAGGCAATGCAGATTTCCACTCCAGTTCCAAAAATACTTATTTGAAGAGAATTGGCCAATTTAGACTCCATATCCAGTGAGCACAGATGCTTGAGTTCATTATACCTGAGGGGGAGTGTCTGGCGTGTCCTCTTTTGCTGAGGACCCTTTCGTTTGTAATTTGCTTGCTCATATGTGCAAACTCTGACATTTTGAAATGCTTAAATAATCTTTTCTTTATTTCCTGAAAACCCTGCTTGATCTATCAGTGACAATTGTGCTCTAAGGGTCCTAAGCCATTTATTATAATTCCATTCCACCTGTGATAGACATTATCTTCCTAATACTGGCTAATAACTATATATGCTTTTTTTTTTTTAACTTAAGTTGGTTTAACTTTGTTTTTTAGGAGGCTGGTTTGTTTATCAACAGAGAAATGAAGTTCATAACAATTGTGGAATTGAAATATATTACCAGACAGACATGCAGAGCACCTCTGAGAATATGTTTTTGGAGCTCTTTTGTCAAATTATCTCAGAACCATGTTTCAATACTCTGCGCACCAAGGAGCAATTAGGTAAGTTTTCCCAGAGTTGTTGGTGACTGTGTGAATACACACAAGTGCACACACATGTTCATGCACTTACATGCCTAGATGTGATGAGGTATTCTTTTCCCACTTAGTGAATGCCATTTAAAGGACACTTGGTAAACACAAGTTTTAATTGCCGATGACTCAAAGTTACTATTCACATATGCTGAACTGAGGAGAAGCAAGCCTAACTTTTAAGATTGTAAGTGTAGTATGTGAAATCAGCCCTACCCTAAAAAAATTTGAACACTGTGCAAAAGATTTCAAAACTTCAGTTTTAAAAAAAGGAAGATTAGGTTAGTTTTCTAAATTTTAAGAAATTTTCCAAACAAATCGGCAATAGTTTAGTCTTTACCACTCACAGCCCTACTTTCAGCTGCAGTAGAGGGTTCACAAGCCCTAATTTAGGAATACTCCTGTGTGGGTAATAGTAAGCTGCAATGTTAACCAAATCCTAAATATACTTTAGGCTTATTAAGAATACAGTTGTTCAGAAATACAAATAATCATTACCTGAATGAGTAAAACTGAAAACTAGTAAGATTATTCCAAATAGAATAACAAGAGAAAGAGAGGCTTCTTATGACAATTTGCATTACTGAGATATTAAAATATTTTTTTTTAAAGGATGAGAGTAGAATAAGAAAGGAGCTCATCTGGTAAATCAAGATTTTGTATACCCAGATATCCAGAAGTCCTATTTAAATTCTCAATATGATGATTAAAAGATAAAAAGAACATAGGTGCCGTTCTGGTGTTATGAGCTACCAGAAAATATCGGATAATTTTTTTTTTCAAGCAACAAGCAGTGAGCCTCACCATGTTGAGTACAGGGGTTTTAACTCTGTAGATACCTGTAGAAAATAGGGCAGGACCCAGGTTATCCAGGCTTTTAGTGGCAGGTTTCTTGTCAAGTTGGATAGAACAACTAAAACATGGGAGAGGGGGAAAGACCCCCAAGGAAGAACTGTTTGAGTTTATGAATATGGGCTAGCATGGTATGACTGCCAAATTATTGAGTTCACAACTCTCAGGAGAGAAGGCAGCAATAATACAAGCAGCTTTCAATAAAGTCAATGGAACTGTTATTAAGATATGTGAGAAAGCTAAAGAAAAAGGAGTTCAAGAGTTAGCAGTCCTTTAAACAGCAGAGAGAGTAACAAAGGTTCATTCAGTAAATATTTTAGCAGTGAGGAAAAGACCAAGGAATAGGAAAGTTGTCAATGATGGTGAAAAGGTCAAAATGCTTCAGGGCAGTTTTGTTGGTTTCCACTTGAAATGCCAGTGGTGACAAAGTAGTTTCCAAAATAAATACCAGTGATCAAAGCCCAGGGGCTCACCTTTGACAAAAATAACAGATTAACATTATGCAGATAAATTAAAAGATTTTAAATAATTGGGCATGATGAACTTTGCATTTAAATTACGAAATCCTGGAACCAGTACTGTTAAAACTGAAAATTTGCAGAAGATAGGTGAGACACTGAAAGGCTAAAGAAGGTTTGACTTTATACTAAGTTTTAAAAGAGAGAAAGAGCAGGAAACTTGCAGATTAGTCATCTTAATTCCCATTCCTGGAAAAACGTGAAACAAATTACGAAACCTATTCTAAATATATAGGAGATAACTGAAAAATGTTTTCTGAACAAAACAGGTCAAAATAACTTTTTTGAATACAGAGTTTAGCTGTATGGGTGGAAGTGATGATGTCATATGTCTAGTTTTTAATAGCATGACAGTCGCATAATGTTCTCAAAGAAGCTAGAGGATAGTCCAGATGGAACTGCTATGTGTTTGGATAAAAGACTGGTTGGAAAGTTACGACTGCAGAGTCGTTAGCAATAGTTTATTAGAAAAAGTGTTCTACTGAACTGTATTGCAGTCCAATCCTATTAGTGTTTTCATAAAAAAATTGGATGACAGACATGAACATACTTGCTAAATCTTTAGATAATACTTAACTAGAATAACACAAATGCAACTGTGTGGGAAGGCAGAACTAGAATTTGAAATTAGTTTGACATTTGGGGACATGATTTGAATGAAGAAAAGATGCCATTCAGTAGGAGCAGTTTTGCAGGAATAATCAGCTGCACAAGACACAAGATGAGGAACCAAGTGGCTAGATAGCACTTGTGTTGAAAACAATCTAGAGGGTGCAGTGAATCAGATGCTGGACGTGAATCAAGAGTGTCATGCCGCTGTGGAAAAGGCGTGCTGGGATCTATAAAAGGGAGCTTCCAAAGATGCACAAAATGATCTTTCTATGCTATTCAGGTAAGGCTTTTGAACACAAGAGCAGCAAGGAATGATCAGAGCTCTATAAAACATCATTGAGAAGATTGAAATGCAATGGTTTTGATTTTAAAGGGGGAAGAAGATTGGAGAAAGGCTCAAGTATTCATATATGCACAAGTTGCAACAAAAAGGAAGAATTCTTTCTTTATATCTAGTTGATAAAATGGGAAATAGTGGTCTTATATTTCAGCAAAGTGTATTCAGATTAAACATCGTGGAAAATAGTAGTGAGTTGCTAATGTTGAGGGTAATGGGACACTAGAATTCAGCCTAATTTTTGATTGTTCGATACTGATGATACATTTCTTTCTGTTCTTTCTTATTCTACTTCATCTCTTCACCTTTTCCCTCAGCTGATAATGTACTTCAGAGAAATAGAGGAAAGAGGTTTTTAAAAAATAAACTGGTATATTTTGAAACACTGTTATTTCATAATGCAGAATTATACCTAGTATAAAAATTGGATTTCTAACAATCCTGGCATCCTTGCAAAAGTCAGTGCTGAAATAAGGGTAGTTGTGGTTGTTGTTACTGAATAATTTGTGACTATTTTGTTTTGCCAAGGTTACATTGTCTTCAGTGGTCCACGTCGGGCAAATGGCATTCAAGGACTGCGATTTATTATCCAATCTGAAAAGCCACCTCACTATTTAGAAAGCAGAGTTGAAGCATTCTTAAAAACTATGGAAAAATGCATAGAAGATATGACGGAAGAGGCCTTCCAAAAACACATCCAAGCTTTAGCAATTCGTCGCCTAGACAAACCAAAGAAGTTGTCTGCAGAATGTGCTAAATACTGGGGAGAAATAATTTCCCAGCAGTATAACTTTGACAGAGGTAAGAAAAATCATAATTATTTTAAAGATAAAAATCCAAAACTGCAAAATCAAATGCCAAAATATGCTCTTGACTCCTTTTTGACAGAAATGTTTATTTAAAATATAACTAAAATTTTGTGCATTTAGCTAAATCACTCATTGCTGAAAATTGAACAGAAATATTTCCGAGATTATATCTAGGGCACAGTGTGCAGTTCTTAGCCATTCTCAGTAGGGCAGTAATGAACACCTCTGTTAGAAGAAAGGCTAAGCAGTGGCTGATACGCCTGAAAATGTCCCCTTTTCATGGAGCTCCTGGGCAGTTATTTTAAAGTTGCACAGCTGCGCTCGACTCCAAAGCGAGGAGCGCTGAGTGCTGGAGTCTGACTGTGTTTGGGACCCTGATGGATGTGAGTGCAGCCCCTGGAAACAGCTTCAGCTTTTACTGGGTCCTTTTTTATGTGCTGCTTGTGCTTGGCATTCCCCTAGCTCCAGCTCTTCCTCCTGCCTGGGGACAGAAGCTCGCTTGGGGAGCCCAGGCTCCCTTGTTACGGGGCCGTTAGCAGCAGCGGACGCGGCTGCTCCCTGCTGCTTGCCCGAGCGTGGGGTAGTTGAGGCTTCCTCGACCTTCTCTCCTTTCCATGGAGGCTCAGGGAAGCGCAGAGCAGGTCAAGGATGGGAGTGGTTTGGATGTAAGAGGGTCTTAAGCATAGATCCACATAAGCTCAGATTTCTTCCATGGTCTTCAGACACTTGCATTATAGAGATGCCTAAAACCTGGATGGGAGTTTTCAAATGTACTTAGAAAAGCCTAGAAGAAACATTAATTTTTTTAAACCTGGATACTTTAAAGGTTATAGGCTTGTAAAGCCTATAGGATTAGGATCCAACTGGTAGAGTTCTTTGTGAAAATGGATGGAAAATTTTGTAAATTGATAGCATAATACTGTGATCTTACATTACCATTTAAGTTGTATTTTTCTCTTTTTCACTAATGTTTGGAGATTTTAAAAGCAGCTTATTGAGGCATGTATTATTACTAAATAATACATTTTGAAACAAAACAAAGCTGTTTCTTACCGTAAAGCTACATGTTTCTTAAACTATGACTAAGGCTTTGAAATATAATTTCTAATTTGTTCACTATTTGCTCCATTAAGATTTTTCCAAACAAACCAAAAAACCCCACTCTGGTACTTTATAAACGTTTTTTTTAGTTTGTAACAGAAAAAAAAATCCTATTTCTGTTTTAGGTATGGATCAATTTTGCGTCACATTTCATGTCTCAGCTCTTATTCACAGCTGTAATTTCCAATCTCCCATGCATAATAAGCTTCCTACATAAAATTCACTTTGTATCCTATAACTTCTCTTTTGCTTTCCTTGCACTGTATTGGCCTTTCACAATAGCAAATACAGTCTTTTTTTGTAGGCAGTGACTAACTGTGAGCTGCTTTAGTACTGAACAATTTTGAATTGTCATCTAGCCTAGTCTCAAGAGAATGAGAGCTACTGACAAAAAGATTTCATGCCCATATATGAGAGGTGGTGAGAAAACTCTTACCTCTGAAATCCTTTTGTGTTTCTGATGAAACAGTTTTATTTCTCTGCCTTAAGTGTTTTTTTTTTTTTACCATGCTTGGATCTCTGACTTATCTCTCCAGCATTTCTAACTGCTAGCTGAAGCCAGATCTTTTTATGTAAATTCCACACAACTTACTAATTCCACCGACTTTTGTAACTTTAATTCCTGTCTACCCACTAGTAATTTTATTCTATTAGATAAAAAGTGAAAGGGAGAATATATTTTTGTGTTTTTTTGCATTTTTTTAATTACTGTTTTACTTCACATGTCTTAAAACATTGCTCCAGATGCCATCTTGTTTTCTTCAGTATTGTGTATGCTGTACCCAGTTACAATTCCTTACATTTATCATTAAAAATCTTCATACCATTTTCCTAACTGTGAAATAAAGCTCTCTATCATCAGTTTGCATGATGAAGATGTAACATGGAATTGAAGATAATATATGGAAGTAGACATATTTTTTTATCTACTGAATAGTGTAGTCCGATCAGTATTCTTTAAATATATATTTTTAGTAAGTTCAATCAGATGGATTGTTTTATGTATGTTTTTCCCAGACTTCCAATGACACTTCCAGTGACACAGGTAGTAGCTTGTAAGTTAAGAATGGTGAGTGTAACATTTGCAGTCAACTGCAACATCTGGATTTAGAAGGAAAATGCTTTCAAATAAGTGTGCTAATACATTCTGTTATGAATTTCAGACTTGTTTTAATTTTCATTCTTCTTGAGCAGATAACATTGAAGTGGCTTATCTAAAAACTCTGACCAAGGATGATATCATACAGTTCTACAAGGTAAGTTAGTCATGTAGTTAAAGTATTATTCAGAGAGGTATATATTACTCTGTGAGCTGTGAGAGCTTATACTTGTACTTGTTGTAGGGAGGTAATATGAATGATGCACATACCTTAATAATAATTTTATTTACTGAATCTTCCTTAGCTTAAAGGGAGCTAGCATACTGCAAGAATGGTAGAAATAGATGTTTTTCTTCTTACCAGCTGCGGTTCTCATGTCATTTATCCTTCCTTTGTGAATAGAAAGCATGTTTCTGTGTGATTTTTTGACCCAGTTTACCCCAGGTTGCAAATTTATTTTTTTTCCTCTGAACCAGCAGTATTTTGTTTGTGTGAACTGTGAATGAAAAAGGATATTTGTAATGCTTTCCACACTGTAAATCAATACATCTCTTGTTCCTCTTTTGCAGAACAAAGGAACAACATAATGATGCAATAAACATATACTGCAGCTCAGCATGAAATTATTAGATAGAGGTCTAATAAAGGCAGTTGAAATACTGGGGTGGGCTGAGGAAAGTGGTTACCTAAAAAGAAAATTAGTCGGACCTCATTCTTTCTGTTCTGCACCAAATTTCAAATGCAGTGACAATTCTGAGTGTTGCAAAGTCTATATGTTGTTTAATTACCTTGGGAGAAGCTAATAGTTCAAGCAAATAGTAGGGGGAAAATACTGTGGCTGTCTTTGAAACTTACTTTGGAAAAACTTTTACTCATGTAGAAGCATGGTGGGTTGATGTGCTTATACAGTATCTATGTGAGTGTATGCACATATAATTATGTGTACATATATGGGTGTGTATTTAGATAGGTGTGCATGTATGTGTGAATGTCTTCAAAACTGTTTCTCTTTGTACTTTGTCCTTTTCACTAGTCAGGGTCATTCTCATATAATCTTCTGTTTCAGTTTGCAATTTAACCTTCTGTTTCAGTTTGCAATTTAACCTTCTGTTAAAACTGGTTACTGCTGAAATGGCACAGTGAACACGAATGTTTTTCAGACAGGGGGAAGAGGTGCAGCAGATAAAAGATTAATAAATGGAATTTCAGTAGCTGTTGTTTAATAAGTAATAATTTGAACAAGTATCGACATTCTGGTTTTGTAGGAATCTACTCTTACTATTTTGTTTCATATAAATATATATGCTAATGCAAAATACATGATTATCCAGTGTTGCAAAGCATGAGTATGTGAACTGGTCCAGCTGCATTTAACATTTGTGTTCAAGGTGATGTGCTTCCAGAAGGCTAATAAGATTTGGAAGCTTCAGAGATTTTGGTTGCATACCTGGTGCTGTGACAGCTAATGGCTTTATTTCTGGATTTTTTTTTTTCCCGTGTGTGTGTATGTGTGCGCACCAAATGCTACGTGAATTTTTTAAGCAACTTTGTTCTAAAATGACTCAAATAAGTATATGGATGACCTTTAATAATGTTTTAAGGGACATTCCAAAATTACCTC